CCTCCCTCGTCTTCCTCTTCCTGAACTGGAACCACTTCCCACTTAGAGGGGCTGCCACTATCACTGCTGTGACCTTTTCCCCTCCTTACCGCTAAATCCTTCTCACACTGCTCCAAACCATCTATACGAAGCTTCAGCCTCCTATTTTACTCCTGAAGAATAGAGTTCCTTTTTTCAACACTTGAACCTGAATTTTTAAAAAAAACAACAATCAGGTGCTTGGAAAATCCCACGCTAACTCCCAAGAGCTTAGGTGGGGGTCAGGAGATAGGAGAAATTTGTAAGGAAATTTAAAGCAGAAAATGAAAATTTTTTGCGGCAGGCAGGAAGAGCCCGGGAGTGAGAGCCGGAAGACCGGGAGTGGAAACCGGGCCCCGGAGAGCCCGCAAGAAGAGCCGGGAGTGAGAGCCGGCCCCGGAGAGCCCGCAAGAAGAGCCGGCCCGGAGACCAGCAAGAAAGCCACAATAGAGCCAGCAAGAAGAGCCGGGAGTGAGACCGGGCCCGGAGAGCCACAAGAAGAGCCCGGGCCCGGGGAGCCCGCAAGAAAGCCGGGATGGGGAGCCGGGTGGAGACCCGCAAGAAGAGCCGGCAGTGAGACCGGCCCGGGAGCCAGCAAAAGAGCCCGGCAGTGGAGCCGGCCTGGAGAGCCGCAAGAAGAGCCGGGAGTGAGAGCCGGGCCCGGAACCACAAGAAGAGCCGGCAGTGAGAGCGCCTGGAGACAGCAAGAAGACCGGGATGAGAGCCGGCCTGGGGACCAGCAAGAAGAGCCGGCAGTGAGGCCGGCCTGGAGAGCCACAAAGGGAAACCGGGAGTGAGAGCCCGGCCCGGAAACCACAAGAAAGCCGGCAGGAGAGCCGGCCTGGGGAGCCAGCAAAAAAGGCCGGGAGTGAGAGCCGGCCCGGGGAAACCACAAGAAGAGCCGGCAGTGAAGCCGGCCTGGAGAGAGCAAGAAGAGCCGGGGTTTAGAGCCGGCCGGAGCCCCGCAAGAAAAGCCGGGAGTGAGAGCCGGCCCGGGGAGCAGCAAAAGACCCTCCGGAGAGCCCCAAGAAGAGCCCCGGGCCCGGAGAGCCAGCAAGAAGGCCGGCAGTGGAGCCCCCTGGAGAGCCCTCAAGAAGACCCTCCTGGAGAGCCAGCAAGAAAACCGCCTGGGGACCAGCAAAAAGAGCCGCAATGAGAGCCGGGGAGGAAACCCCTTAAAAAATCAAAATCCTGGCTAGTTCATTAGTCATTCCAAATTTTTATATTACTCGCGGGTTCCCAAAAGATTATAAAAACAGTCCCCTTTTTTGTGTGTGGATTTCAACTCACAGGGCTTTCAAGTTTTTAACAGCCCTAAGAGTTAAAGAAGTCATATATTTTTAAATGAGTTAATTATAACTGAGTTTTTGACTATCAGAGAATGCAAGATAAGATTTTTTGGGTTTTTTAAACCCCGAAAGGGTTTCCACCCGGGATTTCCAAGAAAATGCGTAAAGAGGACTGTCCCTTTTTTCCTTGGGGGGCCTTTAATCTTGTCCCCCAGGGTGCCACCCACATCGGTCACTAACACCCAGGTACCTACTTACTGCTAGGTGAACATTGCAGCAGATGTAAATGTAACACCCATACCCTATTATGCGGGGAACAGGACATGTGTAAAGGGAAAAATGCTAACGTTTCCACCCAAGCCGGGGATTGAACCGGCCCCTCAATGTGTGAGGCGAGGCTTGACAACGAGCCACGGACTTGACACAGAGTGGACTAACAAGGCAAACCCTTTATAATTAAATTCATGCAGGGCCGCCGCAGGGTAGCCTAGCAACAAATCAGCACAATCTTTGGATTCTTTTCCGCCTGGCTTCGGCTTAGATAAGACACATCTGGGAGATGGCATTTGCACCAACTGCTGGATGTGCTACATGCCAGGACCACGGTTTAAGTCCTCCGCTGGACGTACTACATGCCAGGACCACGGTTCAAGTCCTCCGCTGGATGTGCTACATGCCAGGACCACGGTTCAAGTTCTCCGCTGGACGTGCTACATGCCAGGACCACGGCTCAAGTTCTTCGCTGGACGTGCTACATGCCAGGACCACGGTTCAAGTTCTTCGCTGGACGTGCTACATGCCAGGACCACGGTTCAAGTTCTTCGCTGGACGTGCTACATGCCAGGACCACGGTTCATGTTCTCCGCTGGACGTGCTACATGCCAGGACCACGGCTCAAGTTCTCCGCTGGACATGCTACATGCCAGGACCACGGTTCAAGTCCTCCGCTGGACGTGCTACATGCCAGGACCACGGTTCAAGTCCTCCGCTGGACGTGCTACATGCCAGGACCACGGTTCAAGTCCTCCGCTGGACGTGCTACATGCCAGGACCATGGTTCAAGTCCTCCGCTGGACGTGCTACATGCCAGGACCACGGCTCAAGTCCTCCACTGGACGTGCTACATGCCAGGACCACGGTTCAAGTCCTCCGCTGGACGTGCTACATGCCAGGACCACGGTTCAAGTCCTCCGCTGGACGTGCTACATGCCAGGACCACGGCTCAAGTCCTCCGCTGGACGTGCTACATGCCAGGACCATGGTTCAAGTCCTCCGCTGGACGTGCTACATGCCAGGACCACGGTTCAAGTCCTCCACTGGACGTGCTACATGCCAGGACCACGGTTCAAGTCCTCCGCTGGACGTGCTACATGCCAGGACCATGGTTCAAGTCCTCCGCTGGACGTGCTACATGCCAGAACCACGGTTCAAGTCCTCCACTGGACGTGCTACATGCCAGGACCACGGTTCAAGTCCTCCGCTGGACGTGCTACATGCCAGGACCACGGCTCAAGTCTTGTTCCATTCATCTATTTCTTCGTATCGGCTGAATCGTTCTCAATTCCTACGTAAACAAATGTAAACAAAATCAAGGATACATAGTTATTTTTTTGAAGTATTATCTATGCCTATATCTCAGTATCATCTATTATATAAAGATCCTTTGCAAGGTAGTACGTTGGACTACGTGCGGCCAGCAGTAACAGCCTGGTTGAGCAGGCCCTGACCCACTGGAAGACCTGGTCGTGGACTGGGCCGCGGGGGCGTTGATCCCCGGAATACCCTCCAGGTAGACTCCAGGTTAGGTTTCCATGTCAGGAAATAGGACAAGTGTTTCCTGACGCCTGTCTTAGTACTAACATGTGACCCGCAGCTACAGCTTTTGGTCATATGACCGAGGCCTTCTGCTGGCTTACCCCTCCACTCCTTTTAAAAATTATCATTATTTTCTTTTAGTATAATTTGGAACCCAATGCCTGGTCACTCTATACCCCCCCCCCCAAAAAAAAAATGAAGAAGGCACAATACCGTGACTGGAACAATGCACATTATTATTATTATAATCAAGGGGGAAGCGCTAAACCCGGAGGATTATACAGCGCCTGGGGGGGGATGTGGAAGGCATTCAGGCTTAATTCGGGGAACTGGAGCACAGATCCAATTCTCTAAATCAAGAGCCCCTCACCAACATCAAGGAACCTTCCTTGAGGGGGAACAATGCACAAAAACCCGCACATAGGGAGGACGAAACTGAGAAGGACGTTTCGTGCACCTAGTTAATGGTACAAGTCGGACCGAAACGTCGTCAATCGATAGACTGAAGAGAGGCACAGTGTGCGCACGCGCTGTATAGCAAAGTTAGCAATATAATTACCATTATAGCAGCACGGAGCTACCACACCTTAATTAACCGGTGCCCGAGGGGGGGGAGGGGGGAGGGGGTCACAAAAAACGAGTCACACTTTTGGCTAGCTTGAAAAGGTCACTGGAGAAAAAAAATCGTATCACACGTAAATACCTTAAACAATTTAAGTATTATAAAAAAAAATATATTTTAAATCAGTTATTAACTGATAGTACGTGACTTGTACACGTTGACAACATAATTTATACAGAATGGTGTTATACATGTGTAGAAAAAACATCACTTTTATTCAATTTCTTAATAATTAATTATTGACAATACATATATATATATATATATATATATATATATATATATATATATATATATATATATATATATATATATATATATATATATATATGACGAGCTTTCTCTTTCAGAGACTCAGTGTCGCGATCCAGAGAGGAAATGCCTGCAGCATTCTGGGCACGCGGCCACCGCAGGGGAGCTGGACGAAGTATTCGAGATGTAGCTCTGAGTTACCTATGTTGTTTTAATTTCTGTTGTATTTTTGTGAATGTTTGGCCAATGTATTTTTGTCTTTAAATAAAACATACTTGAAATATAGGGGGTGGTAGGACAAAATTCTCAAATATATATATATATATATATATATATATATATATATATATATATATATTATATATATATATATATATATATATATATATAATCTGCTGAGAGTTGAATATTCTCCAGTGTACACGTGAACTGCAACTGCAATCCTAATGCCCTTCGTGCAGTAGACAGGCCTTAAACCTAGTCAACTAGCTACCACGACACGGGATATATACAACAAGACGTACTCACCTATTTGTGGTTGCAGGGATCAAGTGGTAGCTCCTGGCCCAGCCTCTTCGCTGGTCGTTACTAGGTCCACTCTGTGCGTATTTCAGTGTGAATACGGATTTCACTTTACTTCCCTTGCAAGGGAACTGCAGCCTTGAGGACCATTAAGCAGTGGATAGACTGCTAACATATCTTATTGTGTGTGCACAGAGAGCTTACTGTAACCCCTATTTTTGGGAGGTGAATAGGTGATGCCTTTAATAACCCTCTTGCAGTATAATTGTTTTAAAACCCTACTAACCATCTTACCTACCTACCACCACCTCCGCTACCACCACCCACCACCACAACCACCCACTACCACTACCACCACTACCCACTATCACCACCAGAGCAGCTGTAGATGTCGACCTGTTTCTCCTGGCCAGCCATACAGCCAGCCAGCTCACCCGGGCTGACAGTATCGGCGGCTGGTCAGAACACCTCCACATCCCGTACCGCTAAGACGGTCGCGTCCCTCGCGTTCCCTCCCCCACGCGACAACCAACAGGTGTCCGCTCTCGATCTTTGCCTTCATTCAGGTCAGCTTCTTACAACTGAAGCCCATATTTACCGGAAATGATACACTTGCGAGGCACTCATTTGCATACGTGTGGAAGAGGAACTTAGGTGTATCGACACGTACATGTAGGGATCCAGTGACTTGCGTGTGAATATGTACCTGTTAACCATGTAACAGAGTGTACACGTGTACATATACATAACCAGTGTACATTTACATGGGAGATTTGATGGTGTGTGAATATTTATCAACAGAGTCATTGCTATGTAGAGGAAATTAGGTATTTATCGAGTACTCATGTAAGTGGGAATATGGTTGAATAATTTGTACACATGTAAGTGTTCCTTGCTTGTTGCTTGTACACATGTACGGTACGTAGGTGCTCCTTGTTTCCTGTGTGTTACGTTGTAAAGTAACTTTTTGACTTCCCTCAGTAGAGGGGATTTTTAAAGCAATGTGAATATATTTTTTCGAGTTCCTGAGTGTTTTTTTTCTGATCGGCAATGGCACTTTTGAGTGGCGGTCATTTCAAAATGTTTATTTTCGATTTCGTGGTCTCACGGTCGTTCGTTTTCTGATTGGTAGTGACCATTGTAGGTGTTTGTTTACTGATTGGCAGTGATTCTTGGGGTTTTGTACTGAGTGGCAGTGAAATTTACTGATTGGCAGTGGTTTTATCGGTGTGAATTTTTATTAGCAGTGCTTTCATGTTTTTCTGATTGGGAGTGAGCTCATAGCTTCCTGATTGGCAGTTGTCGCAAAGTTTTACTGATTAGTAATTTGCTCGTGGTTATTAATAATTGAGTGTCCCATAGATTTTTCTGATTGGCAGGGATGCTTTTCTAATAGGCAGCGCTCTGATAGGTTTATATGACTGGCAGTTGTGTTTATTTCTGAATAGCTTCATTATATTTCCTGACTGGCAGTCTTCTCATGTGCGTTTATTTCTGATTGGCAGTATTTAATTGGCTAGTACTCAACTGATTAACAATCTTATTGATGTTAATTATCTTATTATTCGTCAAGAGTTTTCTGAATGGTAGCGGTATTTAAATACCTATCTGATGGGCAGTACAAATGTATGTTATTGGCAGTGTCTAAAATGATCTGACTGGCAGTGATCTCAGATGCGTTTTTTTCTGATTGTTCTGGATTTTAAATTATTCATTTCGATTAGCAGTAGCAGCAAATGTGATTTATTTTCTGATTGGCAGTGATTTACACTGTTAATTTTGGTGCCGGGTAATTGCGTGTGTTATAGGTATGAGACTGGTGCAGTGTTTATCCTGTCCGTTAGTGTTGCTGTTGTGGTGTGTTGACGCTGGTAGTGTGTTACTGTCCATTACTACTGTCGTTGTTGTGGTGGTGTGTTGACGTTGGTAATGTGTTACTGTCCATTACTACTGTCGTTGTTGTGGTGGTGTGTTGACGTTGGTAATGTGTTACTGTCCATTACTACTGTCGTTGTTGTGGTGGTGTGTTGACGTTGGTAATGTGTTACTGTCCATTACTACTGTCGTTGTTGTGGTGGTGTGTTGACGTTGGTAATGTGTTACTGTCCATTACTACTGTCGTTGTTGTGGTGGTGTGTTGACACTGGTAGTGTGAGTGTTACTGTCCATTATTACTGTCGTTGTTGTGGTGGTGTGTTGACACTGGTAGTGTGAGTGTTACTGTCCATTATTACTGTCGTTGTTGTGGTGGTGTGTTGACACTGGTAGTGTGAGTGTTACTGTCCATTATTACTGTCGTTGTTGTGGTGGTGTGTTGACACTGGTAGTGTGAGTGTTACTGTCCATTATTACTGTCGTTGTTGTGGTGGTGTGTTGACACTGGTAGTGTGAGTGTTACTGTCCATTATTACTGTCGTTGTTGTGGTGGTGTGTTGACACTGGTAGTGTGAGTGTTACTGTCCATTATTACTGTCGTTGTTGTAGTGGTGTGTTGACACTGGTAGTGTGAGTGTTACTGTCCATTATTACTGTCGTTGTTGTGGTGGTGTGTTGACACTGGTAGTGTGAGTGTTACTGTCCATTATTACTGTCGTTGTTGTGGTGGTGTGTTGACACTGGTAGTGTGAGTGTTACTGTCCATTATTACTGTCGTTGTTGTAGTGGTGTGTTGACACTGGTAGTGTGAGTGTTACTGTCCATTATTACTGTCGTTGTTGTAGTGGTGTGTTGACACTGGTAGTGTGAGTGTTACTGTCCATTATTACTGTCGTTGTTGTGGTGGTGTGTTGACACTGGTAGTGTGAGTGTTACTGTCCATTATTACTGTCGTTGTTGTGGTGGTGTGTTGACACTGGTAGTGTGAGTGTTACTGTCCATTATTACTGTCGTTGTTGTGGTGGTGTGTTGACACTGGTAGTGTGAGTGTTACTGTCCATTATTACTGTCGTTGTTGTGGTGGTGTGTTGACACTGGTAGTGTGAGTGTTACTGTCCATTATTACTGTCGTTGTTGTGGTGGTGTGTTGACACTGGTAGTGTGAGTGTTACTGTCCATTATTACTGTCGTTGTTGTAGTGGTGTGTTGACACTGGTAGTGTGAGTGTTACTGTCCATTATTACTGTCGTTGTTGTGGTGGTGTGTTGACACTGGTAGTGTGAGTGTTACTGTCCATTATTACTGTCGTTGTTGTGGTGGTGTGTTGACACTGGTAGTGTGAGTGTTACTGTCCATTATTACTGTCGTTGTTGTGGTGGTGTGTTGACACTGGTAGTGTGATGTTACTGTCCATTATTACTGTCGTTGTTGTGGTGGTGTGTTGACACTGGTAGTGTGAGTGTTACTGTCCATTATTACTGTCGTTGTTGTGGTGGTGTGTTGACACTGGTAGTGTGAGTGTTACTGTCCATTATTACTGTCGTTGTTGTGGTGGTGTGTTGACACTGGTAGTGTGAGTGTTACTGTCCATTATTACTGTCGTTGTTGTAGTGGTGTGTTGACACTGGTAGTGTGAGTGTTACTGTCCATTATTACTGTCGTTGTTGTGGTGGTGTGTTGACACTGGTAGTGTGAGTGTTACTGTCCATTATTACTGTCGTTGTTGTAGTGGTGTGTTGACACTGGTAGTGTGAGTGTTACTGTCCATTATTACTGTCGTTGTTGTGGTGGTGTGTTGACACTGGTAGTGTGAGTGTTACTGTCCATTATTACTGTCGTTGTTGTGGTGGTGTGTTGACACTGGTAGTGTGAGTGTTACTGTCCATTATTACTGTCGTTGTTGTAGTGGTGTGTTGACACTGGTAGTGTGAGTGTTACTGTCCATTATTACTGTCGTTGTTGTGGTGGTGTGTTGACACTGGTAGTGTGAGTGTTACTGTCCATTATTACTGTCGTTGTTGTGGTGGTGTGTTGACACTGGTAGTGTGAGTGTTACTGTCCATTATTACTGTCGTTGTTGTGGTGGTGTGTTGACACTGGTAGTGTGAGTGTTACTGTCCATTATTACTGTCGTTGTTGTGGTGGTGTGTTGACACTGGTAGTGTGAGTGTTACTGTCCATTATTACTGTCGTTGTTGTAGTGGTGTGTTGACACTGGTAGTGTGAGTGTTACTGTCCATTATTACTGTCGTTGTTGTGGTGGTGTGTTGACACTGGTAGTGTGAGTGTTACTGTCCATTATTACTGTCGTTGTTGTGGTGGTGTGTTGACACTGGTAGTGTGAGTGTTACTGTCCATTATTACTGTCGTTGTTGTAGTGGTGTGTTGACACTGGTAGTGTGAGTGTTACTGTCCATTATTACTGTCGTTGTTGTGGTGGTGTGTTGACACTGGTAGTGTGAGTGTTACTGTCCATTATTACTGTCGTTGTTGTGGTGGTGTGTTGACACTGGTAGTGTGAGTGTTACTGTCCATTATTACTGTCGTTGTTGTGGTGGTGTGTTGACACTGGTAGTGTGAGTGTTACTGTCCATTATTACTGTCGTTGTTGTGGTGGTGTGTTGACACTGGTAGTGTGAGTGTTACTGTCCATTATTACTGTCGTTGTTGTGGTGGTGTGTTGACACTGGTAGTGTGAGTGTTACTGTCCATTATTACTGTCGTTGTTGTGGTGGTGTGTTGACACTGGTAGTGTGAGTGTTACTGTCCATTATTACTGTCGTTGTTGTGGTGGTGTGTTGACACTGGTAGTGTGAGTGTTACTGTCCATTATTACTGTCGTTGTTGTGGTGGTGTGTTGACACTGGTAGTGTGAGTGTTACTGTCCATTATTACTGTCGTTGTTGTGGTGGTGTGTTGACACTGGTAGTGTGAGTGTTACTGTCCATTATTACTGTCGTTGTTGTGGTGGTGTGTTGACACTGGTAGTGTGAGTGTTACTGTCCATTATTACTGTCGTTGTTGTGGTGGTGTGTTGACACTGGTAGTGTGAGTGTTACTGTCCATTATTACTGTCGTTGTTGTAGTGGTGTGTTGACACTGGTAGTGTGAGTGTTACTGTCCATTATTACTGTCGTTGTTGTGGTGGTGTGTTGACACTGGTAGTGTTACTATCCATTATTGTTGTGATGTGTTGACGTTGGTATGGTATGTGACACTGTCCATTACTGCTTTTATTGCGGTTCGTTCATTGACAGGATGAGTGGCACTGCTCAGTACAGTTATTGTGGTGCCTCACGTACTGAGTGGCACTGTCCAATAAATTCGAATCACCGAGCATATTTAAAAAAAAAAATCTGGCAGTAATTTGACGCATTATTGTTTCTGATTGACGGTAATTGTGCGCGCGGCTTTAGAAGTTATTATTTTCTGAATGTCAGTAATTATCACTAGTCTTATGAATGGGATTTAGGTCTTTGACTTTTTTTAAGACATTTTCTTTATTATTATTATTAAAGATTCGCCGGTATTCTCCGGCCCGGGCCTTTTCCAAGTGGTGGCCCGGCCTTGGCTCCCTCTTTAGGGAGTGTCTGAGACCTAAGTCTCCCATGGGAGGAGGCACAAGTACCTCCTCATCTTTGGGACCAACTGTCCCCAGGCCTAGCCACAAGCTAGGCCTCTCTGGTCTGCC